TTTGTGTGTGTGTGCATGTGTATGTGTGTGTGTATGTCTACTATAAATTGTATTTTGAGGTAGCCATAGTGGGATTGAATATGGGAGCGTGAAAGTGCGCAAGAGAATGACCTTGCCAGCTATCCACTTAGTTTGGCGCGAATTTGTCCACCAGGTGTTTTGTTTGTTGTTATATGGTTTAGATAGAAGCTGGGTTGCTTATATACCTGAGATTAAACATTGTATGTGAGCATATATTTAGATACGAAATGTAGGTGTCGTTCATAATCTTTGACATTGCGCTCGTCTGAGGCATGCAGTTGTTGTTCATCAACGCAACACACGCACGCATGCATTGTCTGTAAATAGACTGGATTAATATAGCTGCAACATCAACCTTTTCCGACGCAACCAACTCGAGGGCCTCAGCACCACACTCGTCTGCATGCGCACGTTTATCGTTCAAAACATCATTTACACACACACGGAGTATGCTTGAATCAATCACAATACATATACGACTGAAGGCATACAGACAGCACAAAGCCTACGGATAGCTCACAAGGGAACACGTATAGTGAAGAAAAGGTTCAGATAAAAGAAACCATACCCGCGGTATCGAACCCTCCTGACGCCGCCAACTCAAAGGCCTCAGCACCACGCTCGTCTGCGCGCACACGTTCGTCGTTTAACAGCAGTTGCAGTACCTCTGCGTGTCCTCGTTGGGCGGCATTGACCAAGGGTGAGTTGTGTTGAGCTAAGTGGAGAGGAGGGGTGTATTAGAATTAAGGGGGAGGCATCGAGGTACATGGGACATATAGTTAGGTGATTGCAAGTGATATGCAAATGACGTCGGTGATTGACCAAGGGTGAGTTGTGTTGAGCTAAGTGGAGAGGAGGGGTGTTTAGAGTTAAGGAGGAGGCATCGAGGTACATGGGACATATAGTTAGGCGATTGCAAGTGATATGCAAATGACGTCGGCGATTGACCAAGGGTGAGTTGTGTTGAGCTAAGTGGAGAGGAGGGGTGTTTAGAGTTAAGGGGGAGGCATCAAGGTACAGGGGACATATAGTTAGGTGATTGCAAGTGATATGCAAATGACGTCGGTGATTGACCAAGAGTGAGTTGGGCTGAGCTACGAGGAGAGGAGGGGGTTTCTAGGTTTAAAGGAGAGAAATTGAATTCTAATGGACATTTAGTTAAGTGACTGAAAGTGATCTGTACGTAATTTCATTTCTATGCTACAATAACAATCGCAATTAGATTTTGAGATTTACTAGTCGGTTGGTAGTACAAATTGTATCCAAACCCTCCGCATGTGTTGCGCTAAGCTACTATGTAGAGTGTCTTATCACGTACGCAAACTTAATGCCACTGCAGCATGCTTGCCGCCTTACTCGATAAATCACAGTCGATAAGCAACGATTGGTTCGAAGTGTAAGCTATAATATATACATAGACGCCCATTAGTCCCCACAAATTGGTTGTTCACATCATGTGGGTATAGGGCACAATGAATGTCGGAGACATATACAAGCAATACTTGTGTAATATTTTAGGGTTGGAGGGATATCTAAAAGTGTCTCCGCTTTCGACTGTCTGTCTACATAGAGATTGAAGCGCACGACCCATCCCAATTTTATTCGCAAAACTCGCCTCTACCAGCTCCTGTCCGAAAACTTTAGGCGCTGCCCCGATCCCTATATATCTATCACTAAGTGTAACAGCTACAAGCTATAGCTGAATACGTAAATGCATAATAGTCAATATTACTGAGTAGGTCGAGTACGCCAGTTGCACACCCACATACATATAAT